CCAGATGCCCTGATATATCTTTTGGGTATTCTGGAATCCTGGAGGATCCGCGATCACATATCTATCGTGTCTAAGGACCTTTACAATTTCGTACGGGCCACGAAATTGCGGGAGTAGCTTCCTGCTAGTACCTGGAGTGCTGTCAAAATTGCGAATCATTACTAAGTCGCCCTTTTCCTATTGTTTAGAAGCCTTGTGTTTATTATCGAAGGCTGCCTTTTGTCGGTGTTGTGACTGGTTAATCCGTTGCTCGGCCTGATCGCGCATTGTCTCTAGGTCTCGGTTAGAAGGATCCAGTTTTTCTTCCAACAACTGTCTCAATCGATCCGGGTGCGGGCCTCGCTGGTCTATGCCGAATACTAACTGGCTGGGACTCTTGCCGGTGAACCGATTAACCGCATTGTTGATGGCGTATTCTACCTCGTGCAATATTTTGTACCATGGCCGTCCATTACTGGGATTGAACAGTTTTGCGATACAAGGAGCCAGAACCCGGTTGATCCGCTCGTCCTGGCCGTTTGCCTGGGGGGATCCCACCGTAACCTTTATATGTTGTATTCCTTGCTTTTCCATGAATTCCTCAAATTCTTGTGACGTGAAAGAGCTTCCCCGGTCCGATATGATCCTCTGGGGTTTACTGTAGCTTTGGAAAAATTGTATTAAACAGGCCGTCGCTTCCTTAGTGCCTGTGGTCTTAGTTGCGAATAAACGAACGAATTTGGAAAATGCGTCTACTATCACCAAGACGTATTTCTTCGAGGATACTTGTCTGTCGACCGGCCCGAAGTGATCAATGTGTAAGGTCTCAAACGGTACTCTTCCTTTAGGGATGGGGTTGAGATAACCTTCTCCTTTACCCGAAGTCGGAGAGAACGAGATGCACTTCAGGCATCTTTGAACATGATCTTCGCATTTTTTCCGTATGTGCGGGAACCAATACATACGCCGAATGACGTCTATCATTCTTCTGGGCCCGATATGACCCATTTCGTTATGATACCGAAATAGAACGTGACTCTCCATCTGCCGCGGTATCATGAACAGTGATTTACCCCCATGCTTTTTCTAAACCAAACCATCGCGCATCTCGTATTGCGGATCGTCCTTGGATTCCAGTTTAAAAATAATGTCTTTGATGATAGAGTCTCTGTTTTATAAAACCGCCAGGTTCCACTCAAAAGGGTTGTCCTCCACTACTAGCACCCCGAAAGCCCTGGTAAGCGCGTCTACGTGGGCCATTCTGGACCCCGATCTATGCACTTAAAATCAAAGTTTTGAAGTTTCGAGACTCCAGCGCGCTATTCGGGCATTGATATCCCGTTTTTCCAACGTTTGCGTTACAATCTGAGACAACCACGAATTGAGTACTCTGCAGGTAGATGCGGAACCTGCGAAAAGCATAGACAATCGCCAGAGTCTCTAACTCAAAGCTGTGGTATTTTGCTTCCACCTCCGTCGTGCGACGGCTAAAATAAAACACAGGATACATAGCATCGTTATCCTGCCGTTGCAATAGCACAGCCCTGAAACCGTGGGAACTTGCGTCACAATGCAGTTGTGTACGCCCTCGGATTATATACCGCCAAGATAGGTGACTCTACTAGCCTAGTCTTGAGCGTTTCAAACGCCATTTTTTCAGTCTGTCCAAAACGGAACGGAACGTCCTTTTTAAGCAGCCCATACAACGGTCGGGCAATCAGTGAGAAATTTTTGATAAATTTACGAAAGTACGAAGCTAACCCCACAAAAGAGTGGACTTCCTTTACTGTCCTAGGCTCCGGAAAATTCTGTACTGCCGCGATACCCCTATCTGTGTGTGTGTAGGCCGAACCCCATTTTGAGTAATTTTATAACCTAAGTACTCGATTTCGGTGCATAAGAACGTACACTTCTCTAATCGCAGTTCGAGCCTGTTCTGTACCAGTACTGTAAACACTTCCTTCAATGTTTCAATGTGCGAATCTAATGTTTCACTTGCTACTAGAATGTCGTCCATGTATACCACTACGTCTCCTCTTTTTACAAGATCGGCCATTACCTCATTTATGAATCTTTGAAACAGTTGAGGACCGATTTTAATTCCAAACGGCATCCGAACAAACTCGAACTGGCCCATCGGAGTTACAAATGCAGTATATTTGATTGATTCAGGAGCCATTGCTATATGATAGAAGCCATCTTTTAGGTCCAGCGTGCTATAATATCGATTACCTCGTAACGCATCGAGTTGATCCTCGATCAATGGTAACGGGTAATTATCTTGTGCCAGCACCTTGTTCAAAGCACGATAATCGACACACATTCTTGTGTCGCCATTCTTTTTCTTAGTCAATACTATAGATGAAGCGTATTCGGAGGTGCTAGCCCGGACAATACCCCGCTTCACAAGATCATCCAAGATCTCCCTAATCTTTTCTTTTTCAGCAAATCCTAACCTCCTAGGACCAAATTGGATTGGATGGTTACCCTTTACCATTAAGATGGCCTCCATCCTCACTTTCGACAACTCGGAGCGTTCGGGCCTGAAATAAAAATTCTGTATATCGTGTACAAACCTATCGCGGAATGCCGCATCAATTTTCGGATTAATTTCTAAGCGCTCTACTTTAGTATCGCTGTAACTCTCGATGCATGATATCTCACTAATCGCTTTGTCAAACATAGGACTATTCGTTAACCTATAACCAAACAATTTCAATACGTCTCTACCTAGCAGTAATGGAACCGACATCGTCTCATTCGGAACGATCCCGATGTTAACTGATTTAGTTTTACCTTCTATAGTAACCTTGGCTCTGGTTACTCCCTTAACCCAAAGCTTAGAGTCATTGATGCCCCAATATCGGTTCCATTCCTTACCTAGAGTGGTTACGTTTTCTGTGTTTACAACTTGTTCTCGAACTAAAGTGACCGGACACTCTGTATCAATTTGCGCCGCTAACGAAACCTGTGCACTTCCTGACATCTTTAGTTCCATGTCTCGCCGGAAGTCATCTCGCGGCTCTTCAGCTATGTTGATTAGGTAGATTTCATCCTCCTCCTCAGAATTGTTGTCCGCGTTTTCGCTATTAAGCTTATTTTCATCTGGGCTTTGCTGTTCCTCGTCGTCGGTCGCGTTGATTAAAGCTAGCTGCCTGTCAGCTTCCTTCTTTTTATCAGAGGATACTTGGAGTTTCCTTTTTTTCTACTCTGCTGGCATCGTGAACTTTGTCTTCTTCTGTGGGCACTCCCTCAAATAATGTCCCGCCTGATTATATCCGTAGCAGCGGGCGTTGTCATCAGTAGTTAGCTTTGGTTTGTTTGTGTCGATCTTCGCCGCCGATATTGTTTTTGCCGTTACCTGTTTGGGCCTTGCTCCCTTAGCATTGGCGTATTCACGCTGATCTGTTGTTGCCTTAGCGTCTTCCAGTTTAATTAGCCGGAACGCCTCGCACAGCTCATGCACCGACGGGAATCTTTGCATCCGCGCCTGATTTTTTAACGTAATAGAAGGAATACCATCGATGATGAAGTCTACCATTTCTTCGTCGTCCACGGGAACTTTATACCCTGCGATGACCTTGTCATGGCAGTATTCGCTGAATGGCTCACCTTCTTTCCACACATGCGCTTCGGCTATTTGTCTTCTCTCACGTTTTCCAAGAGGTTGGTCGAACATCTCGTCCATTTTTTCAAGCAGAGCGTCGACATTTAATGTTAGATGGCTCGGTAATGAGAAATACCAGTCGGCCACCTTATCTCGTAGTTTTGAACCGACCAGTACTTTAGATGCGTTCTCATCAAGGTCGTACGTTTGACGCAACAAGTTTATTTGGATCTTCCACTTATTAAAATCTTCTTTAGATCCCGAATATATGCATATGAGACTGCTCACCTCTTTGATACTCATTGTCCGTGTTGTTGACGATGCCGCACTTGTTTCGGGCGATTGTCGCAATAACTCATTTTCTTGACGTAAAATCCGCTTCTGTCTGCACTAAATCTCGTTCGCGAGTGACCATTGCTAACTCACGACGCACCCAGTTTTCTTCCGCGGAAGGGCCTGCTGTTCCCACGCTTGCTTCCTGGAATGCATCTTCCTGCTGTTCGTCGAGCTCTTGTGAGGCCGCCTTTTGAATCCATTCACCTGTTGGATCTGTTTGCCGCATACGACTAATAAGCTCGGCCTTTCTCCCGGCCGTTGACAGGCCGTATTCTCGCAGGATAGCTTTTAGTTGAACCATGTTAAGATCATAGGGATCCATTTTTTCTATGGTCCTTGTTTCTGCTTAAGATGGCGTAAAGCGTTTCGATAGTCTGCACAAACCGACGCTTCGTTATCGCTGTCTCTGTCGCATGCACTACCCGCCACGCCTATGCCTTTTCCCCGTACTCTAACCTGTACGCGAGCGAAATCCGAGTTTTCCGAACTCTTTGGAATCTCCGTATCGCCAATCGACACTGCTTATATGCTTCCGTGTGCCCACTACGACATAAGATTCTTGTACACGCGTCGCTTTCAATATGTCGGACCGTCGTACAATGATCTCCGCACATGCACGTGTCTGTTACGTAGAATCCTTCCACGTATTTCGCTTCTGACGCTCTCACCCGATTTTTATATCCGCCGACCGTGGCAGAACCAGGATCCCACTTCTGAAATTGTGGTGTCCTTTACTATAATTTTCGGTAACGAGTTTCTCAAGCCTTTCTCTTAAAACGCTTGTCTCGATAGAAACTGCTCGTATCCTCGAGCGGCGTCCCCTTCCTCGCCAGCGCCTCGCTTGCGCCAACTCCGTCTACGCGGAGGTCGGTAATCTTAACAGTCGATAATTGTCGTGCGCTACAATATTAAATATATTTTAAATATATAATATATTATATATATTAAGCAAAAATACAAAACTAATATAATATAATAACAATGCACATAGACTTTGGCAAAATAAAATGATAAAATAAAATAATAATGCAAAGAAAAAACGAAAAAAAATTAGTGCTAGTCATATAGTAAATGAAACATGGGTAATTGTGCGCGTCGCATTTCAAAACGCTTGCGCAATGTTGCCCGCCGCGACTTGACTCGATATACGATTACTTCAACATTTCTTAATTAAACTTAATAAATAACTGCTCAAAAGACGCACATAATATCATACTTTAATAACGTATGCAACTTTAACCAAATAAATTAAAAATACGGACTTACCACCTTATTTTCTGAATGCTAAAATAGTAAGAAAAGATATGATTTCACTTTTTTGTATTTCTCTGGGTAGTAACGTACGTCGTATCTTTTGTAGTCATATCTTAAGAGGACGACCTCCTGCGTAAAAATTTCAGCACAATGATGCCTTTATCCATTGAAAAATGACCAAACCAGTATGTGCACAATTACCCGCTGCGCACAGTTATACAAAATCCGAATTTGTTGCTAACTCTGATAAACGAAAAATAAAAAAAAACAAGGAAAGAACAAGGGCAATAGGAGTCAAGCGCGGGAGACGTTGCGCAAATAACACGACTATCGTAG